AAGTATCAAAAACAAATTAATGGCAATTAATAATAGTAATAAAACTCAATCTATTATTTATTTTTGTTTAAACATTTTACAAGCACATCACGTGGATCAGGGGTGGCCAATTTGATTAGAACCAAGATCTACTCTGCGATCTACCAAATAACCTTTCTTGAAATTTAATGAAATAATGTATTTCAGTATACAGATAAGTAGCATATTTTCTTTTATTAAAAGGATTAAAATAAACTTGAAATTATAAATAAATAGATAAATAATGTGAGGTAATGGTCATTAACAAATGATACAAGATGAAGATGATTCGTGCAGCAATTGGTGATTACGTTGCGCAGTCTATTGTATGATGTATTTATATTTTTTGTCTTACCACGATCGACTGAACTAATAGCCACGATCGACCGATCGATCGCGATCTACCGGTTGGCCACCCCTGACGACAATCAATCATTATTTATGTGATCATAGTATTGAATATTAAACATTTAATAATATTATAGTTGTTAATTCGTTGAAATAATAAAATTAAGACATGAGAAAATGATGATAAAATGACAGCAACACATAATATTATCTAGAGCGTTTTAAATTGAAACTACTCACTTTAATCTCGCGTTTATTAATGAAACATGGCAAATGAAACAGTAAAACTAGTTTTACAAATGTCCACAACCCGCGAATACCAAAGCTGAAACTTAGTTCATTATTTCATATTGTGGTATCTACAGTCTTAAATTAATACTTGTAATCTGTTTTACTTATTAAAAACTATCTAAAACTTAATAAATTACTATAAAAACATAGAAATAGAGTTCAATTTCGAAGTATATAAAGACTAACACGTTAAGTAATTAGCCCTTAAGATCGTAACTTATAGTCTCTCTTACTTATTTTTTGTCCAAAACCAGTACAGTTTGTTACACGAACGCATTCGCTAACCCATTTGGTAATTAATGAATCGTCTTCTTGTTACCCGGCCTAATGAGTGAAGTTCGGATATGGATCCATATTGGCCAATGGCTTGGCGTACAGTCCTATCAACCTCTGACTGCTAATGTGACACCAATTTTTTTTATGACTCGTGCCTTGGATTTCTTTCCAGTTCCCAGCTCCAGGTGAACAAGGGCTCAGCTAGGAGGGGTGGGATTTGCTAACAGCTAGTTTTTTATTTATTTATTGCTTAGATGGGTGGACGAGCTCACAGCCCAGCTGGTGTTAAGTGTTTACTGGAGCCCATAGACAATCTACAACGTAAATGCCGCCACTCACCTTGAGATATGAGTTCTAAGGTCTCAGTATAGTTACAACGGCTGCCCCACCCTTCAAACCGAAACGCATTACTGCTTCACGGCAGAAATAGGCGGGTTGGCTACCACCAGCTAGCTACCCAAACACCTCCAAAGGAGACCTAACAACTCAAGAGTAAATGCTTCGTGAATGAATCTACTACGGGATCGGAATTGGTACTTTTAAATATAGGTACAGACATAAAAAGAACAAAATATGTTCATCCCACGACAATGTCCGATGCGAGAATCGAATCTACGACTATCAGCCCGATGCTATGCTTAAAATTTTGTAATTGTATTAAATTTTAGTAAATATCCTTGAGCATTGTTAATAGCAGGTACCTAAGTACTAACAAACAAACAATATTAATATCGGTATTTACTGGTGGTTAAGCGTCTTGTAGGCCCGTACGTGTAAATACTAAAACCCTGCATATTTCAGGAAGTAATACGGTTTGAATGGTGACTATACAATTGACACTTTTTTTTACCTACCTATTAGCCTAGCCTAATACTACCTATTACTAGTAGCCTCGAGAAGTTATGCGAGTAGGTGAGCTCACGGGGCTCTAACCTGAGGTCGTTGCTAACACTAACCCTAGCATTAGCAGTGCTTCGCGAAATCTCATATCATGTCACAACTCATGTCTCAAGGGGTTTTTTTTTTATTGCTTATATGGTTGGACGAGCTCACAGCCCACCTGGTGTTAAGTGGTTACTGGAGCCCTTACGGCCTGGCCACGGGGATCGGCGGTGCGAACAGCGAAGCGGTGGGCGAGGCGACCATTCGCGCAGCACCGTTTGCAGGCCACGGGTACTCACGTTCGCCGCCGCGACTAGTAAGGAAGTCCGACAGCGAAATGTCTATATCGAAATTATCTCGATATTGCTTACAAATTAATAGTTTTTTGGTTCAGGACCTATTATTTGGAAAAGATTGTGAAGTACATGATTTGAATAAGAATCGGAGTATACCTATAGATGGAGAATTCCACAAGAAGTACGAGAAATACTTTGGGTGGCTAGACTTCCAAATAGCTGGTCTAGCTAGTATTTCAGCTATTTTATTTTTTTATTGCTTAGATGGGTGGACGAGCTCACAGCCCACCTTGTGTTAAGTGGTTACTGGAGCCCATAGACATCCACAACGTAAATGCGCCACCCACCTTGAGATATAAGTTCTAAGGTCTCAAGTATAGTTATAATGGCTGCCTCACCCTTCAAACCGAAACGCATTACTACTTCACGGCAGAAATAGGCAGGGTGGTAGTACCCACCCGTGTAGACTCACAAGAGGTCCTACCACCAGTAATTACGCAAATTATTATTTTGAAGATTTCATTTTTATCACACGATGTTATTCCTTCACCGTGGAAATCAATCGTGAACGTTGAGTGTTGTTGAGTACGTATTTCATTACAAAAATTGGTACCCGCCTGATATTCGAACACCGGTGCATCGCTCAACACGATTGCACCGGACGTCCGTTAGGCCACGACGACTTTAAAAATATAAAATAAAAAATAAATAAAAAATATAAAAATTTCGGCGTTAATTTTTCGCGGCGAAAACAACTAAACTCATTTAATCACTGCACTATTCGCCGCGACTACCGCTCGACTCCGTGGCTCGCGCCGTCCGTATTCATGCATTTGTTTTGCTCGCCCGCCGCATCGCGCGATTCGCTCGGTACATTTCGCCGGTCGCTTCGCCGGTCGCCGGTGCGCGTGGCTTGTTAGGTACATTTCTATGCGCTTATTTTAGTCGCTAGACGCTTCGCCGTTCGCACCGCGCGAATATTCGCATCGGCGAATGTCCCGTGGCCAGGCTGTTAGACATCCACACCGCCCGCCTGAGATTCGAACACCGGGTGCATCGCTCAACACGAATGCACCGGACGTCTTATCCCTTAGGCCACGACGACTCCGACTGTTTCAAGGTGGGTGGCGTCATTTACATTGTAGATGTCTATAGGCTCCGGTAACCACTTAAGATAATGTGGGCCGTAAGCTCGTCCACCCAATCCAAGCAATAACAAATAAAATAAAAAAATCTACCACCGGATCGGAAACGCGACCCACTGAGAAGATCCGGCGATCCGAACTCAGTGGGCTTTGCATATGGGAATTGAGACTTAGATATCATTTTGCATGCCGGCATTAGCGTAGCGATGTCTTTAAGCTCCAATAACAACTTAACACTGGGTGGGCCGTGGGTTCGTTCATTTATCTAAGCAAAAAACACTGTTATTTCATTTCTAACCTGTACAAATCATCGCAATGTTAATAAAAAAACATTCATAAAAAAAACATACTTACATTTAAATATTTCATTGAATATCTTTACTAAAAACACATTTCATGCTTTCTGAAGTCCTTTCGAAATTAATGCAATCATTTCTGTATTACTTCTACAATGGCCGTATTAACGGCCGTCTGGTGTAGTGGTAAGTGACATGGTCACTACACAAGGGGGTCGCGGGTTCGAATCCCGCCAAGGAAAGATATTTGTATGATAAATATAAATGTCTTTTCCAGTGTTATGGATGTATATTAAATATATGTATGTGTATAATAAAAATCTTACATTTATATCCGTTATCTGGTACCTGTAACACAAGTTCTTTACGAACTTATCAGTTTACAACGAAAGTATATAATGTGGTACAAAACAACTTAATATTCTCCGTCAATCCATCCAATTTAAGATCGGTGCGTGTAAGTACGTATTACTTAATGAATTTTCAAAGTACATTCAACAGTCGCACATGACTATTAATTATTTTAAATATTAATACGTGAAGCAAAAACTTTGTATCCCTTTTTACGAAAATTACGCGGACGGAGGAGTATGAAATTTTCCACATTTATAGAGAATATAGAGAAGAAGTGCACAATGCTAATATATTTTTAAAATAATGCATAAAAGATACAATAAATCAATAAAGAAAACATTACACGCACTACATACCATGTATTTGACGCACACACGCATGCATACTATTTATTGTCCAACTTCTGTTCTTGACGTCTGTTGTCAAATTGAGATTAAATATTGTTTGTCTTTGTTAAAAAAAAATGGCGAAATTTGTGATTATAGAAGTATAAAATACAATCATAATAGTGTACAAACTTACAATTCCAATTAATTATAGTCGAATTTCGACTACTGCGGGACCTCTAGTTATTTTAAAAAGTACAGACACATCATAATAATTTTATCGTAAATGTCAAACAGCAATTAAATTGAATGCGGGCGTGATGATACTTAAATCACAAGAAGTGCAAGGTACCATATTAGCCTAGACCTACATACCCCCATTCGTTATAAACTTGTAAACATTAAAAAAAAAAACGATAAAACTAATCGAAGAAGACCTTGAAAATCTCAAATCACTATCACTATTTAAAACTTTACTTTCATCATACAACGCTATAATCAACGCGCCGATATAATAATATAACATAAAAATTTCCATATTTATTAATAAGCTAGTTGTGAAACAGCGAAAACGCAATCGGTTCAAGGTCATTATCTAATCCACCTCGGGTCCTACCACGATCCCCCGATGCTGGCGAGTGGGGTGCGCCGGCGAGCTTCGCCACCATTCGCTCAGTCGCCGCGTTGCCGTGAACTTGGCCTGGTCTGGCGTCACCCTGGCCTTATCGGAGAGGCCTTATCGGAGACGCCGCCCGCGGCCTATAATAGCGGGGCCGGCGTCTTCCCCTGACTCCAGAGTTGGCTGTGACTCCGCCAGACATGTTTCGCGTCTTCTGCCTCCTCGTCATCATCGCTGCAGCACGCGGCTGCAAGCCCTGCAGTGAGTGTACCAGTGATGTTCTTTAGTGCTCTGTGATCGTGTACATTCGAATCATATTAACGAATTTATATTATTTCATTTCCCTAAAACAGATAAGTGTAATACATTCTAATTGTTTTTTTTTATTCTCGTAGGTAATTGCTTAAGTTAAAAATTTAAAAAAAAAACTTTCTGCCTATAATTGAGAGTTTACTCCTTCAATTTAATTTGTAGTAAATTAATGATGAAAATTTGCATCTCGCGATACAAAAGTGAAATTGAACAATTCTTCCAAATATTATTGACTAGCGGGCCGCTCCAGCTTCGCTCGGGTCTTTAATAAAAAATTCCAAATTAACAATCATAATACACACAAATCAACACTTCTATTTGCGTCAGCTTACTAAAAAATGAAAATTATAAAGATAGTTTTGAATAACCTTGGGTGTACATTATTGGAGTTTTAGCAAGGATCCCTATTTAAAAAAAAAAAGAATATAGCCTATGTCACTCGGGGATAGTGTAGCTTCCAAACAGTTATGGAATTTTTAAAATCGGTTCAGTAGTTTCGGAGCCTATTCAATACAAACAAACAAACAAATCTTTCCTCTTTAGAATATTAGTATAGATTGACCAATATAAACCATAGATATTTAAACTAAAATGTGTGCATACAGAAGCGCTCGATAGAATTTTCCGAGTAGCGTTTTCAAGTGCTAATTTCTACTGCTTATTCAATAGTTCACAAATCTCGGTTATGTCACTTGAGAGGTTGTAACAGCCGGAGTGCTTTTAGAGAGCGATTCGGATGCTTGAGATAAAACGGTTGAAATACATATCTCGTATATCCACAAGTATGTGTGTTAAGTGGGTCTAGAATGATGTTCACGTCACGTATTCGTATTGAACCTATCGCACTTTATCGATACTAGATGATGACCGAGCTTCGTTCGGTTTTTTTTTATTTTTATAACGCCATCTTGTTGTGTCTTTAAAGCGGTTAGTTGCCCTCAATTAAGAAAAATAGTATTATTATTCGCCAATAGATGTCGGGAAGAGTTAATTATTGAAAACACGAAAAAAACAACATTTTCTGAAAACAAATCGTAGCTAGATCGATTTATCGCCCCCGATATCCCCTGTATACTAAAGTTTATGGAAATCGTTGGAGCCGTTTCCGAGATTCAGATTATATACAAGAATTGCTCGTTTAAAGGTATAAGATGCAGTATCGTCCGAATGTTTTTAATAACTGGTAACTTTGTTGTGATCGTTACGAAAGAAGTCGCTGAAGTGCTGCTAATACTCGCTGTGTTATCAGTTCATAATCTTCGCTTAACCTAGTTTTAAAGTAACAAACAATATTGTAGTACAAATACTGTGAATTTTTTCAAATTTATGTTCTCTAGTGTCAAAGGCATGGGAAAATAATGTTAAGAAAATCGAACAATTGAAAACAGCGCGCTGAACAGTTTTTTAAATTTGATAGGCTTTACTGTATCCTTGGTTATGTCTTTGACCGACGGTAACCATTTTCCAATAGGGGGTCAGAAACTCGCTCATCGTCGTTAAAAAAAACCAGTTTAATAATAATAAAAATAATAACAAGCCCATTTTATTTCCAAAAAAAGAAATCCCTTTATGAAATAAAAAATTACAAATATAAAACTTATGTTATTGGAACTCTACTTCGGGTATAGGCCTCTACTCCACTCTTCTCTATTCTTGGCTTTGTTTCTCCATCCTTCTCCTGTTGTTGCTATTATTTCGTCGATCCATCTTCTCCTTGGTCAACCTCTTCTTATTTTGACCATTGGTCCTTCCCTTCCTTAAAAACATTTTAGGTTTAGTTAAATCGATAGGCGTAACATCGAGGGCCTGCTAATTAATAGCTTTTGCAGCAGGCACTTGGAAAAGACTCAATTATGTTTTTAAGTAAGTATAATACTTACTAACAAAATGTATGGTTTCTTTACTGAAATAAAGATTTAATTTAATTTTAATTGATATATTATAATATATTAATATATTAATAATTTCATTTAATTTTTTCAAAATTAAGATTTATCAAAACATTTATTGTAATAAAATAATAATCCCGTGAGAAAAACTTTCTGGTTAACTGACTGATTTATGAACAAGCTCTACGCTCTAAGCCGCTGGGGCTTTATAATTTTGAAACTTTGTGTCTATTGTTTTGTAAGCATCTAGTAAGTATTGGTTTTTGGAAAATTCACCTCCAAAGGTATAAAATAAGGTGTGAACGACTGACTGTATAGAAGTCCGTCATTTTCAAAATAAGAAGTACGAAATTTCAAACGCCTGCTTCTTACAAATAAATAATATAAGCTCCTAAAAGGATGAATAAGTAGAAAGCTTAAATGCGAAACTCGTGACACTCGATACTTCCAAAGTTCTTCTTACTAGAAGCTTAAAATTCAGTATTCATAACTTCTTAAATAAAGCTTATGAAAGCGTAACTTAAAATCTTACAATTTCTTAAACAATGCCTCAAATCGACGAGAATTCTAAACCTACGCGACAGCTTACACGCTTTTAAGCCAGGTCATATGAATTCATAGCACCGGATTATTGGAGACAATAAAAACAAAATTAAGCCGGAAGTAAAACGTTTTCATTTCGCAGCATTTATGTAAAAACAAGTTTTAGCTGTCTGTTTTGTTCTTTTGAGCTCATTATTCGGAATTTTTGTCTCGCCGTAGATGGCCAAAGGGCTGTTCGCTCACAGCTAATTACTGTGTGGTCAACATCACTGTAATTATTGGGATCTATAGACAGTGCGTCGCGAATATCGTCGTCTACGGATAAGTACAAATTTCCAGTCTCGATGTTTATCTTCTTTTTTTTTCCTACCTATTCTAGTAACCTCGGGTTATTCTAGATTCACCGAATTAGTAGGTGAGCCCGCGAGGCCCAAACCTGACGTAAAAATTATGTTTTTTTCTTTTCTTACATAAGCTGATAGCCTTGAGTTGAGAGGCTATTTCAGCGTATCCTTAACTAGTAGGTGGGCTCAAACCGGAGTCATGCTAACACTGACCCTAGCAAGAGCAGTGCTTCGTAAAATCTACCACCGGATCGCAAACGCGACCCACTGAGAAGATCCGGCGAGAAACTCAGTGGGCTGTGTCTATGGGTTAAAATTATGATTTCAGTTGTGTTACTTATATATTGCAGCTTGCGGGGTGGCGCGCGGCGGCAGGGTAGTTGGCGGGGCGGCAATGACGCCTGGCGAGTTCCCGTGGCTCGCTGCCCTCAAGAGAGACGGCAAAGTGATTTGCGGAGCCACAGTCGTAGCTCGGGACCATCTCATCACGGCCACTCACTGCGTACACGGGTACGACTGCTCAGAATCACTTATTTTAAATAATAAAAAAGGTTCTATCTATCATCTGCTTTGAGGAAGGAAATGTTCGCTATGTTTATAAACATAAGATCGTTCTTATTATAAGAACGAGCGTTGAGAGATTCTAAGCTCTATGGTGTACTATTAATAATGCCGAATGCATCAAACATAATCAACTGATTTTTTAATCGCCTGCCAACAGAACGACTCAAAAGACCTATATCTTAAAAAATTGAAGAAATAAAAAAACCTAAAAATAAATGTAGGAAATTAGAAACGTAATCATGAAATCGTTTCCAAAATCCCAAGTAACACAAAGATAGCAGCATAAATTATGGTTATTTTTATTGCGTATTGGTTTTAGAAAACTGCGCATCGGATTTTAACTGCAGAAGTGAGCTCAATGTATATATAAAATGACTGCCCCGACTGATTGCTCCGTGGAAAAATCAGCGGGATGGTTCTAAGTGTTGTAACTACAGCTGCGGACTCACAATACGCTCCATCACCAATAAAGCCCTCTTTTATTATTCCCTAATTCATGTAATCAGAAACCAACAATTTGACAATTTTCTGTGTGCTTATTCCGAGTGTTTTAATGTTCTCGATAGCGTAAAAGTTAACTCAATTTTGTATGCAGTTGGAACAGCGTCCCTGGCGACAAATATAGGCAAACGTTCCAACTCCATACAAATTTGAGTTAACTTTTACGCTATCGAGGACGTTAAAAAACTCGCACTAAGCACACTGGTCCGTATTAAATGTCGTATTTTCATTTATTTAGCATCAGTTGCAACGAAATGAGCCAACACATCGGTAGTTTTTGTAAAAAAAAAACGGAATTATAATATGTAACAAAGCAAATCGAATGTGATCTAGAAACTTTCTCGTTCTTAATTTTTTCATCACAATGCCCTTGATCAATAATGCCATGTGGCATTGACCTTCCGCGCTAACTATGTCAAACGCGAAATGTGTGACTTATCTATGTTCTACAATTCTACACACCGACCCTGTGTGGAAACAAAATAAAACTCATTAAGTATTTGTTTTGAAGAATACAATATTCTTTGTAGTGTTAGCAACAAATCAAGATTCATTTTCCACAACATTTCCAACAACTCATTAATCAGCATTGCGTTGACAGTCTGATGTTTATCTTGTCAAGTTTCGCGCGCTTATGGCACGAATCTTTTAATGTCGCCCGCATTGACATATTGGTGAACACGACAAAGTTCCTGTCCAATTTCAACCAATTTTGTTTTTTTATTTATTTATTTTCATTTTCCATAAATTTTGATTGTAATTCGTAAAAAGAAACAAAATGCAAAATCGATCCAGCGGCTCTCAAATGGTGCGATTAACTATTGTACCGAATTTAATTTTTATTTTATAACAGTCAACCACAGCCACGCTTCGATGCAACTTTTTTTTTTGCTTAGATGGGTGGATGATCTCACAGCCCACCTGGTGTTACATGGTTACTGGAGCCCATAGACATCTACAACGTAAATGCGCCACCCATCTTTAGATATAAGTTCTAAGGTCTCAGTATAGTTACATATCATAGTATCAGTTACTATACTTAGTACCATGCTGTTTGGAAAACATCAAACTCTTCAAATTACTCGCAAGCCACCGATCTTACGTAGGTGGTACTAACAAAGAAACCCTCCCTGGAGCGCCAACAACTGTTTTACCAAGTTTCTTCACAACCAGGTTAGAGGTTACAAACAAACAAAACATCATTCGAATTTAAAATTCCACACATTCTTTAAGCGAATCGTGAATTACCGGTATCTGTGCAATAAAAAGGGCCTGAACTCAATTCTGAACTTTTACATTGTCGATAACTTTCATTGCAACGTTTGGCGAGAGCTCGTGGCTATGATTCACAACCCGCAAACGGATAAAAATTCAAAATCCTTTTTTACTTCCTACTTATTCGCCGTTAGCCTAAGGGGGGCTATTCCAGTTACGAGTAAGTTAGCTCACGGGCTCAATCTGAGAGAATTTGCTAACACTACCCCCAGCGACAGTAGTACTTCGCTGAATCTACCACCGGATCGGAATCGCGACCCACTGAGAAGATCCGGCAAGAAACTCAGTGGGTATATTCCGTTAATATTTTACAAGAATACTGAGATTGACATCCGGCATTAACTAGTGATATGGCGTAAAGCCCACTTAGGTCTTAGGGGCCCGCAATTACCACCGCCTTGCATGATTCTGCTGCAAAACAGTCGAACACAATTAACACTTGGACTGTAGGTCTCAAGGTCTAGTGCCGTAAAGACGTTAAGCTGTGTATACAAAAAAAAAGAATCAGCGACGGTTTTTTTTTGCTTTTTCTTTACGCCTGCCATATTATTTTGACTAACGAATCTATATAGCTCAAATTACATATAGTAGCATCATAGACGCATATTCACAACGCAATGATGTTAACCGGCAGTTTCTAAAAAATCGAAAAATAGCTAATGTTTATTCAGGCAAAAATTTGTAATACAAACCACAGAATATTTATCTTAGTAAAATAATTAACATCTGTAATGCACCGTTGGTTTATGAAACAGCAAACAATAGAATTAGTAGGTGTGCTGTTTGGAGAAAGCTGTAGTCTCTCATTACCATAGATAATACACTTAATATTTAGGACTCATTACACTTGACTATGACAGCAACGCTAGAGCCTAGATTTATTCATGAAGGTTCCATTATTCTATTTAATTGGCACACGGGTCAGAGTCTTGACCTCCTAGACTTAATGTCATCATCCGTATGCTTCAAGTGTCTGCATCAGTTTTTTTCTTAATGATTATCAATATACAGTTAGACGCTATGGTTTGATAAATTGAACTTTAAGAATAAAGTGGTAATTGCATGTTCTCTCGTAATTGAATTCGAATTAGGACGCAAAGTTTTTAAATACGGAGATTTTTTTACTGAATCGTAAAAATACTTTCTATACGCGTATGCCGCGACATCAAAAAGAAAGTTTTTATTTATCGTACACGTCACGTGCAAAGGGCGCAAAATATTAACATAAAAATGCATTGAGTTTGAAATTCGAAATCATTTACGGCCGCAGATTGTAAAAAAAGTTAACTGAATCATAGATAAGTATTGAAAGACCTAGTCAAAACTTAAATACTACTATTCGAATTAGATAAGGCGTTTCAAGTAAATCCGTTGGCACCCCGATTCTTTTATTCTAACCAACACATTGGGTAAATTATCACAAATTCAAGAACAAGGTTTCAAGGAAGCAATACTTAGTTCTATTTGTACGATGAATTGCTATTACGAACTTCACTGGACAATGAAAACAGACGGACTTTACAGAACATTATAGGTACTGTAACGAACCATAAAGCTCATTAGATATATTGTTCTTCTTTGACTCGCGGTCGCTGTTCACTTTGTGTTAAAATATGGTCGGATCATTTCAAGTTTCTGTGCAACTTCCCGTTCCCGTTCTTGGCTGTCGTTTTCGGCAATTGTAAATATTCATACGTATTAATTTAATTGATGCGAAATAATTCGATTAACTTGATATGAGATAAGATTGTTAAAATGGTTATCGAGGACAAGACGATGCATCGACATGCCGCCGGGTAAAATTTTAATGCGATACACTTACCTGTGTACTTAGTTCGAGTTTTTGATGTGAAACATCTATAGCCGCGCGTAAAACCGATTTCTGGCGTGACGACGCATGCCGTGGCGACGCGTCGCCATGCGCAATCGACTGTGCGATTCTCTCCCACTCGATCCGGCGTTAAACCATCTCTCTCGCTACACTGAGCTCGGATACTTATAGTGTATACTATGTGTTTTACTTGAAAACAAATTATTTTTTCGTAATATTTTATTTTATCATTATGACATATTTAATTCCTATCACAATCTGTTCTTTTCTTCATATTACTTTTAGAAAATAATGTCGATGTTTCACATCTGCCAGGCGTCCCGTGACGGCTCACATTTTTTTAACGTTCTCGATAGCGTAAAAGTTAACTCAAATTTGTATAGAGTTCGAACGTTTGCCTACGTTTGCCACTAGGAGCGTTGTTCCAACTGCATAACTCACACTAAGCACACTGTTCGATACAATGATTTTGTTACCGATCGGAACTAATAGTAACCTACAGAAAGGTTATTTCCAGACTTTCCTTAAAGAAGGACATGTCATGGACAGCTGTCAAGTTTTGAATGAATTACAAAAAGGGAGCTTTAAGCTCTATAACGAATAGTGTTGTAATGTAGGCAGCAGGCACATTTTAATCACTGTACCAAACAAATTTAATTTTATCCTTTCAAAAAATTATAAAGGACACGAATAACCCACTTTTATGTGTTGACCTCCAAAGGGCTCGCTTTCTACATGCTCACGTAAGTAATGTAAATTTACGAGTAATCCGCAAATGCATTGTTTATTGTGAAAAGCAAACATTGTAGCTGCAAGGAGCAAGACGTTCGAAATGATTGCACCACCACCAGTTGTTACGAATCGAAAAGATTCCGTTATATTCACATTGTATGTAACAAACGTGAAAGTCAACGATCGGGGTGCACTAAATATTTTACTTAGCCTTTAATTCGAACCATAAAACAATTATTCGTGTCTGGAAAACGCTATATCATAAGTTTGATGGAAATTTTCATTGTTTATTCTAATACAGATAATAAACTTTAGTGCTTGCAACACAATTGTAGTTATCGATTTGATTAAATAAATCGATTTTTTGTTTGTAAATTGATTTTTCTTAAACAATAATTTACAGTACCGGTATGTACATTCTTGTCGTCTTTTGTTTTTTTTTTTTTTGCGTAGATGGGTGGACGAGCTCACAGCCCACCTGGTGTTAAGTGGTTACTGGGGCCCAGAGACATCTACAACGTAAATGCGCCACCCACCTTGAGATATAAGTTCTAAGGTCTCAGTATAGTTACAACGGCTGCCCCGCCCTCCAAACCGAAACGCATTACTGCTTCACGGCAGAATTAAGCAGGGTAGTGGTACCTACCCGTGCGGACTCACCAGTAAAACTGGTGGTAGGACAAGAAAAGCGTCTGGAAAACGTTCTATCATAAGTTTGATGGAAATTTTCATTGTTTATTCTAATACGGCTAATAAAATCTTATGTGCTTGTAACACAATTGTAGTTATCGATTTGATTAAATTAATCGATTTTATTTATTTATTATAATTGTATTTTCTTAAACAATAATTTACAGTTCCGGTATGTACATTTCTGTTGTCTTGTTTAAATATAACGCAATTCGTTACTCATTACCTAAGTAGTGAATCATATCACTTCGAAGGAATCAATCGCGATGGAATGTTTGAAGATACCTAATGCAATAAATTAGTTTTATGGATATTTCAAAATAATCGTCCGTTTTACCGTTGCGATATTGGTTAGTTTATCTTGGGATTTCTTTGGGAATTTATCAATCTCTTTTACAGTTGTAGGTTTGTATGTTACCGCATGTTACGATGCAGCATGCTGTTTTTTTAGGTTTTTTTGGCAAGCAAAGCAAGTGGCTTGTTGCGACAAATACAATCTCAGTCACGTCAGCATTTTGTAAATGGTTAAATAAGCTATACATGTGTGGAAAATAAAGTCTTAAAAATACTGGTATAAAAAACCATTTTAAAGTGCAACGACGCTGATACTATTAACCTACACATATAAATGTATAAAGATTGGAGAAGGGTGTGTGAATTTTTGTTCGAGAATCCATATGTACTCTATACAGGGTGTATTTAAAAATTAAAACTCAAAAATTAAAACAGCTGATAGTGCTTGTGCTTCATAGAACTTTAACACTATGATTTAGGTTTAAATTTTTTACATTACACATAAAATATATGATCCAAACTGAAAATCTTCGTTTGAAGTCAGTTTAAGAAAAAATTTGCTAACTCGTGAAATGTTCTGAATATTATTTTCTACTTATGCTTCTTTATTCCTCATTCCTCTCCAACTTTTATTTTAAACGCTACGATTAATTTTCTCAGCCTTTGCGTTTCATTGCGTAATTTATTGACTAGCTTGAGTAATTTAAATTGGGCGTGTTCAGGTGTCAATCGTCCGATTACCGAAAGACCCCGACGGTTGTCAATAGCCCCATCTTTCATGTTATGGTAATATTCCTGGCTCGGTGATGCTATACTTAGCGTCCCTGACTGGTGCGCTGAGGGTCTGGGGTTCAATTCCCGTATTGATTCCCGCGTCGACTCATCTTATCCAACTGCTGGTTATTTCAAAGAGAACGCTAATAATAGCGTCCTGTTTCTTCGTAATTGACTTGCGACTTCGTAATTGGAATAAAGTATAAACTCTATTCCAATTCTACTCTGTTCCAATTGGAATAGAGTATAAACTCAATTCCATTTACGAAGTCCCTTTTGACACTTCTTAGAACGTAACTCTTCACGTTTCGCATAATTTGAAATAATAATCATTTTTTGTTCATGGTCGTAAACATCACTTAAAAAATACACAATCAATCTAAATCATTATACAATTAATTCACACACACACAATAACATAATATGTCTCATGGGGCTTCGTAATTGGAATAGAGTATAGCAATAAAGCGGCAAATTACACTTTTGTATTATTATTTTTTATTGCTTAGATGGGTGGACGACGAGCTCACAGCCCACCTGGTGTTAAGTAGTTACTGGAGCCCATAGACATCTACAACGTAAATGCGCCACCCACCTTGAGATATAAGTTCTCAGGTCCCAAGTATAGTCACAACGGCTGCCCCACTCTTCAAGCCCAAACGCATTACTGCTTCACGGCAGAAATAGGCGGGGTGGTGGTACCTACCTGCGCGGACTCACAAGAGTTCCTACCACCAGTAATTACGCAAATATAATTACGCTTACGTTCATTTTAAATTCGTGCAAAATAAAGCGTAGTCTACTCTACTCTTAAGCTTACTCTATTGCATTTGTGAATGACATAAAAATGTCATATCTAGTTAATCAATGACAATAAAATATCACGTATTAACATAAGTCTTGCATAAGCGCGGTATGTAATAATTTATTCAGAGCATAACATGCGGGCAGCAGTTTCACAGTACGGATCCAAGGTCGCATCATAGCAATCAGGTCAAGAGCGTTTCGGATGCATTCAAAACATCTTTGTGTTCTAATAGACTGAGGCGAATGAATTTGTTACACGCGCGACAACTGGTCTTGCATTTTGATGGGGGTTACAATGTTTTGAGACGGTCTTGTTAGCATAAGAAAAAAAATGGGTAGACCGCAGAGAGCTCATTGGCCTTGAACAAGTATAATCGATAGGCTTTTTTTATGTATTTATTAAGCGACTTCAAAAAGGGAGGATGTACTCAATTTGACTTTTTTTTATTATATCTATTACGTCAGAACTCTTTTCTAGGTGTATCGATTTTGATGATTTATTTATTTATTGGAAAGCTGGCGTTTCTCATGTGGTTCCATTCTACATCTGGCTAGTATAGTTTTGAGATTTAGCCTTAATAATACACTTTAATTTGGTTACATTGACGATATATAATTAGCGGGTACATGTAGGGGCAAGAAGATCCTTGATTGGAGACCACGTAGTGGCAAGCGCAGTATGAGACGGACAACTTAGTGAGAATCGTTGAGTCCCGTTGGATGCAGGTGACATTGGACCTTCCGCACTGGAGATCAGTTGGAGAGGCCTATGTCCAGCAGACAGTAGACGGGCTGAGATGATGATATGATTTTGTCGAAGTCTGTTTTGTTTTTAGTATGCTTTTATTAGCTTCAGACGTATGTATGCTTGTAACGGAATCTTTGAACATGATTTTGACCCTCTTCAAAACGTTGGATTAACTCGAAATTTGGTATAGGTACTTATTAAGGACCGATGACAATTCAATATCAAAAAAAATATAGAAAAAATTTAAATTCAACTAAAAAATGAAAATAAATAATAGTTTAAAAAACTAAGAAAATACGCTTTTATAGAAAATCCAACTAAAAATAAGAAAATAAATTTGAATTAAAAATAGTGTAAGAAAATTTATTTTATTGTAAAAAAGCGTGGGGTGTTTTTCAGGATATTATCAAAATAACCCTTCTACTCTCTGTTCATAAAATATTTATAACTACTGATACCTGAGAGTGTGATACTGAGACACTGAGAGTGTTTTGTCTTTACAGAATCGAAGCATCCAGAATATCGGTACTGATCGGTGAATACGATGTGAACGCGTCTAATTCTGGAGGTTTTGAAGTCTCCCACGTGGTGCAACACCCGGACTTCAACAGATATTCGTATGATTATGACATCGCTGTACTGAGACTCGCCGAACCTATACCGGATCATTTATACCGACCCGCCTGCTTACCGGGTAAGTTATTGTTACGAATGACCTACCCATATAAATAACTCTTCACCGTAATTCTAATTATAACTCCATTGAATTACAACAAAATCTTCTTATTCGCGCTTCGGGCTTTCACTATTCGCTGATTTTAAAAAATGCGACCCAATTACTTTAATCGCGGATCTAATCGGTAAATACACTACGATAAAGAGAATTCCAATATGTAGATATCCAATCGAATATTCTTTGTAAGCGTGATTCTATATTCACGTTATTCGTCTTCGCGACCTATTTTTGTAACTTAAACCTAGCGAATAAAGAGCTTTTACTGTATTGCGATATTTAAGTGTAGACTTTACGATCATAATTATCTTCTTCGGTTCCTTGCAGTGATTCATATGAATAGAACTCTCCATAAGTCGTCTATGCCTAACGTGACCATACGTCCCGCTTTCAGACTGTCCGTCCCGCTGTCCCCAACGGGAACAAAAATTTCCCGCTTTCATTTATCTGTTGTGCATGTGTTTAAACTTACCGAATACTTACTTATCCCAAATCCTTATTGTATTACAAAACACATACTAAAGTAGCTCTATTTTTGCTGTAGAAAAATAGTTTTTTGTTGCGTAAATTATTTATAAATTTTATTTTAAGGGCAAGTTGGTGTAAGAATTAAGATGTCAGTGAGGGTATAATTCCATAATAAATTATTTCAAGTAATTTTTTAAATCATTTTTTTTATTTTGCACTTAAATATTACATCTTACCCTGACGTACCCTATATACGTATTTATTTATATTACGAAATTCCGAAGGTGTCTCGCTTTGACTCGAAAAAAATAAATGTCACGTTATCTATGCCACGCTTTTAAAATCGTTTCGACTATGTCTAGAATGCTTCAGGAACTGCTTCTAAAGCCCTAAATCCGGCAGCATCTATCAATTTGAATTATTATTCAATTGGAATCAATTTCACATCGAAATACTACTGGTTATCGCTTATTTGTAGAAGTACTTTTTTTTTATTATTAAATACAAGTCATTCATAAAAACACTACTAAAATTATGTTGTGTTTTTTTTTCAGAATCACAAAACGATTTTTTGCTGGAAGGCGTTAACGCAATAGTTTCTGGATGGGGCAGTACTATTGAAAAAGGATCTACGTCTAATATTCCCATGAAGGTAGATTTAATCATTTACAGACCATAAATAACCTTAATTGAAATACGAGACTTTTTGGCGCGAACGGGAGGAGCGAAGTTGTGTGAATTGTTTTATTTTGTTTATTTAGTGTTTCTTCAGGTTTAAAAGTGTAATAATGGTGGTTTATTAACTATTATCTGTAAAAGTGCACCAATAAAGGAAAATGAAACAAAGCCGCTGAACTTAGCTTCTCGGGATCCTCCAAAAAGACCACTGAAAAAGTCTCAATAAATAACCACCATTTTACTGAGAATATATTTCATGACATATCATCTCATCTCATCTCATTTCATCGCAGTTGATTAATGTCTCAAATTAATCATCTTCATTTCATTTCACTTCATATTATCATTTGTCATGTCAAAAAGAATATAAATGATTAGGCTGTGATACCTTTGCCTTTCCTGTTAGAAAAACAGAACTATGAATACTACTTAATTGGAATACAGGGTGTTGTTTTAAGTGTTTTTATTAGGTATTATTTTCGACAGGCTCAAGTACAAATTTGGGCTCAAGAAGAGTGCTCGGCGGCGGGCTACGGGCGGAAGAAGGTAACGCCGCGGATGCTCTGCGCCTACGCTCCCGACAAAGACGCTTGCACTGGCGACTCCGGAGGTCCTTTACTTGTAGCGCAACCACATTACACTCTCGTCGGTGAGTTTTTAATTCACTACGATAGGGCTTAAGTGAAATACAGATACGGATATAACTATTTTATCTTTATAATTAAATCGAGAGGTGAAAGGCTATTCGGTTTAAGCGTCATTTTTGCTACTTTACAGGAGAGCCACATGAAGTATAAATTTTGCAAAAAAATTCTGATCAAAAAATCTTGTTCAGCTATTTGAATGGAGTGAACTTTATTCGAAGGTTAATTAAAAACATCGAACTGTTGATGCTAATACAAAATAAAACGCACCTATATTTACAAAGATAAATGTCGCGTAAACCAATTAATAACCTTTCACCCTTCGAATTATTTTCTATTTGATAAACTAAAAACATCATTCTTCTTGAAATTTAAATTGAGAGCTTAGACCAGGGGCTCCCAAACTTATTTTGTCTACTGACCACTTTGAGAATAAATTGTTTTTAGTGCCCCCATTTTTCACCTAAAAACCACTATAGCAAGAGCTCAGTCGGTGTCTAAGAGTCCTCCTAGATGAAATTACAAATCGCCTCCCAATGCTCTACACAGCACCCCCTTTTTTCTGGGTGTCTTAACGCCCCCCTTTAGGCCTGCAGCGCCCACAAGGGGGCGTTATCGCCCACTTTGGGAAAGGCTGGTTTAGGTAATTTTAGCTTTAAAAATTCTTAACCACACAGAAGTAAATTAAAGTTATAAATACGACAGTGGTTACATACAACTAGTGCGCTTATAATTTTTCGTTTCGTTAAAACGTTACCTAAATCACACTTGTTCTCAAATTATCTCCATTCTATAACAAATTGGTTTCTTTAATCTTGATGGCGTGTAAAGAAATATGTTTTGAAGTTAATTTAATCCTTGATTGCTTACCGCGGCTCCTCGCGCGATGTTCAGAGACCCATTTAAGTTTCAAACTTATTTGCAATATCATTTGTTGTTTCAGGTATTGTGTCCTGGGGCCGAGGCTGCGCCAGACCAGGCTACCCTGGAGTATACGCACGAGTAGATACATTGATGCCATGGCTTAAAGCAGCACTGCGTCATGCTTGCACATGCCAACCACCATCATAAGGATAAAAGATTTCCAATCCTTTAAGGTTTTCTAGCTTTTTAATGTATTGAAGTTCTAATCTGACCGATTATACATTTGCCCAACTGTAATTAAAAAAAAACTGTAGACAATGTAAAGTTGCCATACTAGGAAAAAGTTTTTAGGCAAAACTTAAATTGAATTATTATTATAAATTTTTTGACTTATCTACAAAATTCTTTTAAAGTTTGTGCTGTAAGACTTGTTTTATTCTAAGTATCATGAGACTAAGTCAACAGGTTGAATCGTATCACGTGATATATATTTTAATGGTTATTATGTACTATATTTTATACATTGAATAAATTAATTTAAGAAATTAATTTCTAAGTGTTGGACAAATAAGTAGATAAACATGACGGAATGACGGCTTGACGAATGACTTCTACATACTATTCTTTTGAGTGTGTAAAAATGCATCGAAAATATATTACCTAAATATATATACCAAATTAGAATTGAAAAAAATATAAATTAGTGCTGTTCCGCAAAAAGGGCACCTTTTTTGAGCGTATTTGAGCCGTCAACTTTTTTGTACAACTTTCTTTTCTTTTTTCGAACTACCTTCATCGGCCGCGATTACAGTCTTAAAAGCTTAAGTAGGTATCACCATTGAAATATATCTTTGAAATCGTTAAATCTATTGAATCAAAAGAATCGGTAAAAACATATTTAGGCAAAGTAATTAATCAGTATTAGTGATAGCGTAGTGCCTTTGTTTGTTGTAATACTTGTAATTGCTAGATTCCTTTTAATGTTTTAATGTTAAAAATACTAAGGATAGAAATAACAAAATGGCTGTGATTAAAATATAATTATTTTAAGGATTTTATTGTGTTGACGTTTTTCTACGATTGTTGATCATTTGTTTACATAATATGTAATATAATTTTAAGCTCCTCGGCAATTAAATAAATATTTTAATAAAAATATTGAATTAAGTTTTTCGTCTATTAATTGAGTAAAAACTTTGGATCAACATCACAAAGCCGGAACATTATATACTGACTATTTATTGTATGTAATTTGCCGGTACAACTCAATCTCCTAATACTGAAATTCTATGATTGAATAAATTTTTGAATTTCTTCGAGTTTTTTTTTATTACTTCGCGACAAGAATAGGCAGTAAGTATAATAGCTACCTCATGACCTTACAATAATGGTATTCCAAAATGACCCACCACCAGTAAAAGGTTTTCATGACTAACAGGAATTTCAGACCTACTCGTTTTTTTTTTCATCAGTTTTGTTTTTTAATTTGCCAAATGTCAAACTAAAACAGACGGTTTATGACTAGAATTTTCACAAAGTACTTATCATTTGAAGTTTTTGAAGATGGTTTTGAAAAAAATAGTTGATATTTTACTATCCGAGACTTTATACATTAATACATAAAAAATAACTTTGTACATAAAAAATCATTAATTTAACCACTAATACCAATATTATAATTTCTTTCTGTGTACATCATGAACATGTTTTCTCACCATAGATAATTCCATTCCATGTCATTTGTTCCATTTCACTTTCACTTTTCATAAAACAAATGTTAGTTTTTACTAGAAAGGATTTGGTTGTCTGGGTTATGCTCCCTGTGTCTATCTAATGAAAAATTAAACAAAAAAGATTTTACCGCCAAAATTTGACACCTTGTCACAGGCAACTTGGGCCTACTTTGCTTTGACTTTGACATCTCTGCTTTACCAAGTTTTATTTCGGTTGTTTCATATTTTTAAATTTTTAAAATACTTTCATACTTCTTTAATATTTTATTCAACAATTGATTGATTGATTTTTTAGTTTTTCCCTAAAATTGACGTGTGTCGTTTTCTTTAAATGTTTACCTATCAATTATATTTATGGACATTGTGTCTTGAATGAAACATTCAGTGAAATAAACAAGTTATATCGCCAGTTATTGCACTACTGTTTACACCTAAAATAAACATGAATTTTTCTGAAAATGAAGCTGTAAGTTATTTAATTAGTGGTATTATAAAAATATATATTTTCTAATTACATTACTACATTGTAAAGGTAAACCTTCGGTGCTAATAAGGTTTAAAAATTAATAGCTACCAATACCAATAGTTATCTTATATCTGAACAACACATCAATCAGAAATCACAATATTTGATTTTTATTATTCAGGATGACACTTCAAGTGTTGATAGTACTTCAAACACAGACAATACGTCCCGTAGTGAGACTCCTACCAACTCAAGAGTGAAAAAACGTCGTCGCGGCAAAAAGAAAACCACTAAGCCAGTTAAACCTCCATACAAGTTCAAGTAAATAAATAGTGTTTTGTATTTTTTCTAGCAGATGATGAAACATTGGCAAGATGGGAGTCTTTCAGTATCAAATTCTGATTTTTTTTGGGGAGAATGTGTTATAGGCATAAAATGCTGCAAATTTAAATAAATTTTATAACTAGGTTTGATCTTTTTTCAATGACAATATACTATCAGACTCTTGTCTCAGTTAAATAGTGTCCTGGCTAGTAGAGCACAAAGTGACTATGCTATCAACTTTAAGGCAAGATTGCAGTTTAACATTGAATTTTATTGTTTAGAATGATTCATCCAAATCAAGGTAGGTGTACAGTTATGGATGTTAGTACAAGACAGCCAGGTTCACTGATGATAGGATGTGTAAGCTTGCACATATAGGTACCACTGTGCTTGTTTTAGCTCCAATGCAATTATGGATTCCTGGTTGATGGTCATGACAGTCATTGTACTATCCAAGACTTCAACTTCGTGTATTAAGATGCAAGATAGCATTTACATTGTTGTGTCTTCAAACTCCAGACAGGTAGAACATAGACTACAGTGAAAATTTAAAACCAACTGGGAAGTGAGCTTGTGCATCTACCCAGCCATAGACTAGCTTCCATATATCGTGATGAGTTATAATAAAATGCAAGCGCAACTAAACCAGTCTTCACTGGGTAGAAGCTGAACCACCCTGGATTGAAAGTGTTTAAGACAAAACGTTTTTTCCTATAGTTGCAGTGCTAAAGAAGATCATGGTCAACCACTATTTGGGTGCCAGTTCAATCATCATCTCGGTGACGGAGAACCATCAGTATTTGCAGTAGTCGGTAGTAACAGAGTCTCAATATATGAGTGCCCTGAATCTGGAGGCTTCAAATTCTTGCAGTGCTATGCAGATCCTGATGTGAGTACGAAAATCAGGTACTTGTATTTTCAATGTCTAGTAATATTTTTCAGGTCACTTGTTACTTTCACATTTGGCTACTTACCACATGTCAATCTGACATTCACTCAGTTTTCGCTATTTCGGAGATGGAGAAAATGGAAATATTATTATGCTTAGATTGATAGATCATATTTATCCACTATCTTTAAAATATGTAAACAATAACATTGGTCTTGCCTTTTAAAGTACTTTAATTTCACTGTCAAGTGGAATTTCTTATAATTCCTGATGTGCCTGCATGCAATTTGTGTCAACTAGTATCTGTCGGCTTTGTGTGGTCCACAAAGTGATTTTGACATGGTAACGTCTTATAAATAGATGTTGACCGGCTCCACATACGAACAAGTTTCACGTTCCGTCAAAGCGTGAATGTGCAAGTGAGAGCGCGGAACAAGCGATAGAGAAGCACGATCGGAAGTTTTGACTTGTGACACATTTATCTCTCTTCTCACGTGACGTCAGAGCTAGCAGTTCGAGTAGTTCAGCTACTGGCGTTATCACATAAAACTATCGTCCCTGTACCAACTTTACAGACAACCAATAACTTTTTTTTTTGTTTAATTTATGTTTGCTGTTTTTGGGAATGTTGTCAAAAAAAAAAATAGTGACATAAAAATAATCCATTTTAAACAGGTTGATGAAACATTTTACACATGCGCTTGGTCTTACGAAGAAGACACGATGCTTCCACTCCTAGCGGTCGCCGGGTCACGCGGTATCATTCGTATCTTCCACCCCGCCACGCAGACGTGCATCAAACACTACGTGGGGCACGGACACGCCATCAACGAGGTTAAGTTCCATCCTCGAGACCCCAATCTACTCCTGTCGGCCAGCAAGGATCACGCTCTGCGGCTTTGGAACATTATGACTGACGTTTGCATAGCCATCTTCGGCGGGGTCGAGGGCCACAGAGATGAAGTGCTCAGCGCTGACTTCGATCTAAAAGGCGAAAGGATAATGTCCTGTGGGATGGATCACTCCCTGAAACTGTGGAGGTTGGATAAGCCCTCGATGAATGAGGCCATCAAACAGAGCTATAATTTCAATCCGCACAGAGCGCTACGTCCCTTCAATTCCTTGAAGGAACATTTTCCTGATTTTTCAACTAGAGATATACATAGGAATTACGTAGACTGTGTCAGGTGGATGGGAGATCTGATTCTATCTAAAGTAAGTAAAATATTTAATCAATAATTCTCTATAAATATAAATAACTTTTATGTATAAAATTTATGGTGAAGCGTTTTAATTACTTCATTACCAAAAGTAGATTCATTCACGTGGACTTCAATGATGATCAGAGATGCATGTTATGTGTAACTTTAACATAACTGTAACAACCGTAGGGTGACCCAGAATATTATTGTCACCATCTATTGAGTACTGCTTAAAACGCACTTATAGACTTTCATTATTTTATATTTAATGAAGATACCCTGTGATATATTTTAGATGAGGGCCACTTACTTGGCCATCGCTTGTCGCTTGACTTATATTGACCGATATTACATTAAAAGAAATAAAGATCAGAATCTATAGTTACTGTGTGTTGCGCACACACCACAGACTTCTATAATTTTGTTTATACGAAAATAAAAATCGATTTTGACTGAAAATTATGCACCACAGCAGGAAATTAATATGAGCATTTCTCCAGTCGTGTGAAAACGCTATAATCTGCTGGAAGCCGGGCCGACTTGAGGACACGGAGCTGCGGCCCGGGGACAACTCCGTCACCATGGTGCATCGCTTCGACTACAAAGAGTGTGAAATATGGTTTATACGATTCGCTGTTGATTATAGTCAAAGGGTAAGCACATTCTCTTAGTAGATTGCATTTTGAAAATTTGGAGAATAATAATTGTCTCTTTCTCTCTTATTTTATGGAGTTGAATCTTACAATTGAATAAATTCATTGCCCCAATCAATACTTTAAACCTAAATATAACAATGTAATAAATAAAATGCCTTGAACATAACATGTCATTC